TACAATGAAGAAAGACACAAGAAATAAAATACATTAACAAATAACAAAAAATACAGTCCTTATGTTCACTAATGCGCATGATACGGCTTGAAGCTCACAGCACGGATGCCTTCAGGTCATGCATGACACCGTTGAAAGTTCCTTATGCTATTGGGAACAACCTCATGGTCGAGTGTGCTGAGATGTTCATCTACTCTGTACGGTCTGAACTATCGTCGCAGAAGTTTTTCACTGAGTACACGGCGTATCAGATTCTATACCAAAACATGGTCACCGGGCTGGTACTGCACAAAGCATCGTTGAAGATTATAATAGCGGCTGTCACTTGCCTGTTGCTTCTTGATGTGGAGGTGGACGAGTTTTCTGGCTTCTTTGGCACGCTGAAAGTAGACAGCGACGTGAAGGTTTTATTCGTCAGTGACATTTGACAGCATGGTGTTGAGCATCGCTGCCAGGTTCCTTCTGTAGACAAACTTGATGGCGACATCTGCGTCATTTCCTGCCCCACCGTGTTGTATGCGAAGGCCACGTATGGAAGGATAGCGTCCTATGTCTTGTGTATGACGTGGCTGTACATGGCCGGAATGTCAGCAATGGTTTCAGTGAGGCCTTTGATCAGTGGGTGGCACGCTTTCGTCCGGCAGTGACTTATCTCACTGTATATCATGATCGGCTGAGTTAGGTCAGCAGTAAATTCTGTCCCTCTGTCAGTGATGAAGACCTCTGGGCGCAATGACTTAAGACGATGTTTTCGACAAAGAATTTTGCTACCTCAAATGCTCTGGCTTTCAAAAGGGCTTTTGTCTTGGCGTAGTGGATAAGGTAGTCAGTAGATAGGATGATGACATTTTCCTCTGTTATGATGCGATGTTTCGTGACTGGATTTTGCTGCATTTTTTATGACAAACAGCAATCCTTTGAGGGTCATGAGCTGTTCTTGCTTTTGCTTCGGCAGGCTCGGAATCACGTTAAAAGCTGAGGTTTCCATTTCATTTCATTTCATTTCATTTTATTACCTTAAAGGTCCCCAGGGGGACATTACATAAGGGGTGGGGTTACAAAAAATGTACAAAAAAAGCCATAAATTAGTTTGAAAAATGGCTTGTGACGCTATGCATAAATGTTGATGGACAGGTGATTGCTGCAATATGGTGGTGGAGGTCATTCCAGTCTTTTGCTGCACGAAGAAAAAATGAGGCAGCAAAAGTAACGGTGCGGGAACATTGACGGGCAACTTGAAAGACATGGCCAATGCGATATGACCTGCGAAATGGGGGGGAAATGCAAGGTTCGATTGCAAGTGGACTGTGAAAAAGTTTATGAAACAAGCAAAGGGTAGCAATGCGGCGGCGGGAAGATAGAGGGGACAGGCCAATTTCTTCTTTTAAAGATGACACGCTAATGTGATAGGCATATGAGGAATGAATGAATCTAGTAGCACGGTTTTGAAGTGATTCGAGTGCAGCAATGAGATACGCGTGTTGTGGGCTCCAAATTGACGATGCATATTCAAGCTTGCTTCTTACGAGGGACTGATATGCTAATAATTTTACATGGCGGGGTGTGTTGCGCAGATGACGTTTTAGGAAGCCGAGAGTACGATTAGCAGCTGCGATGATAGTCCGGATGTGCTCAGCCCAAGTTAGGTCACTGCACAAAGTTAGGCCAAGGTATTTGTAGGATTGCACAAGTTGAACAGGAGTGTTAGAGATTACGTAGGAAGTGGTGAGCGGGTTATGGCGACGCTGCAATTACTCGGAGTAAGTTCCGCAAAATTTGTGAGGGCGAAAACACTAGTGGCTTCCACAATTTCCTGGATGTAGGCTACTGTTGTGCCTTTGCTCACGTGCTTGTACTCGTTGCTGAAGTTCGAGAGCATCACTGTTGCTTTCCCTCTGGCAGATCGGCCATTCTTCTGGCGACGCAAATCTCGTGGTTGGTCAACGGGTGCTGGTCCCCCGGAACGATGCCAATGCAGGTATATTGATTGTGGGGTATCGAGATGAGAGCCGTTCTCAGAACACACGAACACAGTAGACACTGCCGAAACGAACCAAACAATATGCATTTATTTAACTGCTTTTAGAATGTCGATATCGCCAGCTGAATTAATATAAATCAATTGCGATCAACATGCTAAAACAACCTTACACAAAATTACACAGCACTCAACAGCATAACAAACACAGGAACACTCACAAGGTGGCGTCGCCAACGCTTGATTCACCAGAGGGCCAGCATCGCAGACCCACCGCAAGCGACAACTGTTTGCGCCAACCGCCACATGCCAAAGAGGGCCGCTCTTCTCTCATGTGCCACCACCTAGGCTTGCAGCCAGACGTCACTGCCGGCGCGGCGCACTCACCATGATGATGATGGTTGTCATAAACACTCGCAAGCACAACGCCCCCTACCGCTCGATAGTTGTGACCCCTAAATACGGCCACGAGGCGCAAACAACAATGCAGGAGGTGTTAGCATCCCCACATGATTTCTGAGAGCCGATGGAAATGCTGACGTTGGAGCGAGGGAGAATGGTGATTTAGTCTTCCAGCACATAGACTTCAGACTTTGCCCAGGCACCTCCACCAGCACCATTCTTGACGCGGTAGCCATATATGAGTAGTGCAAAGAGAGCTGTTCGCAAGTGAACATGTATAGGCCCTTCTCTTTCATTGGTCTTCAGGCGCGGTATCCTGAATATCAAGGACCTGGCAAGTTTCTTAAATTCAACCTCACTTCAGAAAAGCAGGAAGCTCATCAAAACGAACTGCGGGTACAATGCAAAAGATGTTTCAGTTATGTCGGCATACTGCAACTGGTATTTTAGTGCAAGCGAGCATCACATGACATCGAGTGCGAAGCTAGCACTCCGACAAGAGTTTTTGTAATGCCTAAATGTGTTAAACTTGGGCATACACATGATGCTAAAGTGATGAAGTGCATACACGAGCAATCTGTCTTACGATCAGTGGAGCAAAGCTCCCTTTATCCGGCAGGAATGGCTTGGGCGATTTTTGCCTTAGCAGTTGCATTCTCCATCGATCTCTCGCTTCCTGTGCATTGTAGTGATTTATTACGCATGCTAGCATGTTCTCTTGATGATTCGTCTGTTTGTATATACTGCTAATAAGGATACATGCGTGTTCCCTTTTCTCGGTGTACAATGAAAGGCAAAACCAAGGCCTCCGAGATATCTCCGGCAATCCCGGAGACCAACGGCAAGAAAAACATTGTGGTCGCGATCAATTTGCGACTGACTTGTTTGACGTACGTGTTCACATTTTGTAGATAAAAACGGGACTTAGAGCCTTTGAAGCTTTACGTGCGAAATGCTGTGTGATGGGAAACACTTCAAATTATCGGTGGTCATGTCATGTGCGATGTTTATCGCGCGCGTCACCTGTCTATTACTGCAAGGCACGCACCACACTCAAAGGCTCTGTTAAGCTGTTTTATCAAAGTTACCACGGTTCTCCATCAAGGCAACTCAAAACAATACCAAAAGACCTATATTACCACACATTCTCATGCAAACAGCTGGGAGAAACCCACGTAATTTGCTTACCCAACACATTCGCAACGGCTCATATCCAGCGCAATCACTGTTCTGCTTCACGAGAGCTGCGGAAATTAGTAAAACTGTAGTCCTTTACGTCTGTGGCAATGCACAATGCAACAGTAGCGTTAATTGGGGTCCTTTTTTTGAAGAGCGCGGATCTGCTTTTGTTTTCGTCGTCGTTCTGGCGAGTGAACCAGCAAGCACTTCATGGCGGTTCAGTGACATGTTGGACTAGTGGAGAGAAATTAGAAGCTATTTTTATCCTTTCATCCCACAAAATTCTGCTCAGCAGAGTATAAGAGTCTCACAGAAATTGAAGCAGTCATTCATTTGATAAACATTAGGAACGATTGCAAATATTAGCAATGTCTTCCGATGACCTCCTGAGCTAGAAGAAGATCGGCTATTTGGGCTAGTTTCTTCCAGCCCTTTCGTGCTTGTGCTGCAACCCCTATTAACCTCCTGAGCTCTTGCAACAGTAACCCAATAGTTGCGCTTCAGTTAAAGTCAACTCAAGAAAGCAAAAAAACTGGGCAAGTTGGTATGTATTCATCATAACCGGAGAGCAAGCGCTCCCACCGTAGACAAAGAGACAACAAGCACCTCCGCCGCCGGCGTCGGCCTTGTTGGTTGTGAGCGAAAAATCGTCTGTGCGCCTGTGACCGAAAAATTAAGTTACCGGGAGAGCCGTGGGAGGCCGCTACTTGTCCACGCGTGTGCGTGCAATTACACTGGAAAATCCGCGTGCTCAAAGAAAAAAAAGTGCTCAGGGTCACGAGGCGCGGTAGTTTCTTTGCCCTGCCACTCCTACCTGCTTAGCTTACAGCACTTTGGTCGGGACAAGAGAAGGGATAATGCAATTGCAGCATGCGACAAACCTTTGTAACTCCACTCGCAATGGACGGAGTCTTAAAATTTTTGTGGCATTGAATTCGTGAGGCAATAAGCTCTTATAGTGAATTCATTCCATGGTTACTTGAAGAAGCGTTTCAGGGCCCCTTCAACACATTTTGTTCCAACAGGTGTCACGACGAAAACGAGCCCATTTGGCAATAATTGCACGCGCTTGTCCAGTCTACTGTGTGCGTGTTTGTGTGCGTGCGTGTGTATGTAAGAAAACATATTATTAAGTATGCACTTAGCGGTTGAAGGGTGCACTAGAGGCCAGATTTCGCTATCGCATTCAACTCTTAAAAGCGAAGCATAAGGGTCTCCCCTTTTTTTTTTTTTCTCTCTCTTTGTCTCCGTCATCACTGTACCCTCTCCCATAACTATGGAATAAACTGCTTGGGATGAAGCTTACTTGTCTAGGCACTTGAATTCAGCACATAAATTCTGGATTATTTTAGTTGGCACTTGAATTCAAGTAGGTGTGAAAACCTGTATTAACCTTTTTATGTGCACTGCAATCACATTCTTTGTTACCAGTTGCACGTACCCTTCATTGGTAGACACAATGAGGGACAGGGTTCCACAGGTGTTGAGAATGGCAAGATTACGTGGAAAGTCTCCGCCATCCTTGAATGCCTCAATCCAAGTGGTCTTGTTTGACTGAGAAATCCCCTCTGGAACGTGCCACAGGCTCAGCGCCGATCCACTGCTCCCTGTTACCTGAAGAGTGCCACATGTCAGGGTTAGTAAACATTCATTCCTCTCAATTTGGCAGAATTACCATGCCGGACAACTTGAAAGGAAATAAAACACCCGATTGCAATAATTACTACCTCTTCTAGTGCAACACCAGTACCACCGTTGTAGCTGGAGGAGAGACTTGACATCATAAAGTGAGCAAGCGAAAGCGCATGTCACTACGAATTCCTAACATCAGGTTGCGCTTCACGACTGTTTTTTAAAAACTTATTTATTCTTACAAGCTACACCACAAAAAGAAACGAACTACTACATCTACTAAGCCGTTGTGGGCATCAGTTTAATTCGCTACAGTTCAACACTACAGCAACAGTTGTACAATAACAAGGTAAACGATGTGATGTACATTCTCTATCAGGGTGATGATAATATTCAGCAAACATTACTGCTGTGAGCAACATACACAAAGTTGGCTCATTAACTGGGAACCCTTCACATCAAAAGTCTTTTTCTTGTTCATCTCCAAGCTTTATCATCACATTTTCAGGTATTACCATTTAGGTCATTTCTTTTTTTTATAATGACGATCACTGCGGGCAAGAAACTAAAAGACGGTCATAAAAAATATTTTGTAAATAATTTGTACAGCATAGATGTTTATAGTTGGTAATTAAAGCAGGAATGCCTAAAAATGCGTGTATGTGCAATGAGAAATTAAAAAACGAGGTGGGTGGAAGATTCAATGTTTTAACAAGTGGAATTGCCTTTGCCAAGACTGCAATTGGCTTCCTTAGCGCATCTGTGTGTATGCCTCGTACCCTGTCCCCAAATCAAACAGAGGAGGAGGAGAGGGCCACAGCAAAGGAGAGGAGGCACAATGAGAGGCTGCCATGGCTGATTGGGCGAGTCGGAAAGAAGAGAAGCACGGACTGCTGGGTAAGTTGGTAATTCATCTTAACTAAGTGTGCGAAAAAAATTTGATGTACAAAAGAAAGACACCTGAACACAACCTTGTGCACTGTGTCAAGGCGTCTTTCATTTGTACATCAAAAAATTTTTTCGCGCACTCACTTAAGAAGTTCGAAAAAAGGTATGCTGTGAAGAAGAAAAAAGAAGAAAAGAGAGGAAAAAAGTGGGCTTGAAGGGGGAGGAGCGGGCTGTACACATGTCGCTGAGTTATGGTTGTCACAAGGAAGCATCACCTAACGATGGTAAGTTAGCGATTTTGAGAAAGAAGACTTAACATTTATCGGTTTCCGTTGTGTATGTGCCATATCGCATGTACTCAAGAGCCTCTTTTGACACATTTATACCTGCTGGCTAAAGTGTATTACATTTGTGGATTAAGTATCACTCTACATTTTCTGCCTTTTGGGGACTAAGAGTTTGACTGGAGGACGTAAAGTTTGAGGTCATCGAAGTTGTGACCTCCTACATTTAAATGTGGTGCCATGGCTTTCCATAATATCTTCACTATGTTTGTGCCATGCTCATTTAACCCAACAATAACAGGTTGTCCAGTTTCACCAGTGTACCTTTTGTGCGATATGAACATTCGATCAAGAAGCCAACATTTGAACTAATGCAGCTAAAGCTGGATTTTCAATACTGTACATACCTTTTATACCTTTTAACTGTATGTCACCATTGTCTTAAAGGTGTTCTACTCTCTCTAAGAGGTAATGAAAAGGAAAAAGAAGAGAAAAGTGCCACCCGTAACTGCCTATTTTTACTATGACACCTCAACAGCTCGGCACAGGAATGGGGTAGTGGGAATAAAAGGGATAGGTAAGGAAAAGGCAAGAGAAGAAAAAGAAGGCAGGTCACATTCGCTACGCCTCCCTCAGTAAGGAAAAGGCAAGAGAAGAAAAAGAAGGCAGGTCACATTCGCTACGCCTCCCTCAGTGCACGCCCGAACCACCGCGTTAACACGCAACTATCCAGAAAAGCTCGCGAGAACGCCGAGAAAAAACTTTCGCCGAAGAAGCAGCTTGATGAGCCCATGTGGCGCACTATGAAATGGGAGTGTGCCACATGTGCTACTCGCCTGGAATTGTGGCCCAGGCACGAGAAAATGAGAGTTCAAATGAGCTCATGGATGGGAATCCAGATGGCCTCGATGTGGTATTCCAGCCATCTAACTCGCCTGGACGATGGCTTCATGCGCAGCAAAGCGCCGTGGCACACAATCCTCGCACGGGAGGGTCAACCGGCCGAAGCACAATCACTGCACGAATATCGGCCGCAAGTGTGACAATCACTGCGTTCTTTGGGTCGACCTCGGGGGCCGGCATATCCAGAGGAGGGGATGTTGGGGTCATCGTGCTCGACGAGGTAGGAGGTGCACTCGTAGTAGGGTGAGGTGCGGTTGCTGACGCTGATGGATCACCACCGGCAACGTCGTCGTGAAAGGAGCGACCCTTCATGACTGCCGCCCTGTCAATCTTGTCGATGTTGTTGACAATGGTCCTGGCCTCCTCCAATGCTTGGCGAGGTGTCAAGGGGCCTTCCGAAGAAGCGACAATGATGGCAGCTTCGCGCTGGATCTGCCATGAGAAGCAGCGCGGCTCATTGACTGGATGTTTCCCACTGCAGCTGATGCAGCGAGGGTGCTCTGAAGGGCATGGTCCATTCAAGTGGCTGCTGCCGCACTGGAGGGGCTTGCAGTGGTGGCTGTTTCAACAGCAGCGGCTGATTCCACAAGCTTCGAGAGAGCTGCAGTGTGATGTTTCTTACCAATACGTTTTGGTTTCTTCAGCTTGATCAGTGTGGAAGCAGCTGGCATGCCTTCCACTTCTGCTCATGCTGTCTGCACAGATTTCCGAAGCTGCACTCGAGTGCGGAGCAGCGCAGAGGATTTGAGTCTTTGAGAAAATCGTGGGATTTCCAGTGGGTCGCCATGTTTAGCCCTTAAAAGGGCTGCACGCACCGAGGCGCAAAGCGGCAGTGAGAAGAAAAACCAGGCTGGCGGGAGTACACGCAAAAAAACTTGCTCTCGCATTTCAGCGTCAACGTCATCAGGCTGTGTAAAAGAAGCGAGCTCATCAGATACCACCACATTTGTTCAGCGGTGGTGGTGGCGGACGGATGCACCAGAGACTGATTTCTTAAAATTTTGCAGGTTAGTCACTGGGCCTTACTACTCTTTCTCTGTTGTGCTGCCCACCACCACCATTCTAGCTTTCGTTATATTTTTTTTGCTCTTTTTGCTTTTTTGCATTTCGTAGTTTGCTTTGTGAATTTCGCACGACTATAGGTGTAGTAAATTGAAATTGTGCATCAAGAATGGCAGACTCTGACTTGTGTCTAATGTGCAATGAGGTACTTACTAATACCGGCAGTTGACCGATGTGTTCAGAATGTAGCTACAGTTATCATCTTGGGACCTGTTCAGGAGTCACAAAGACAGCGTTTAAGTCAAGCAATGAGGCAGCGAAGAAGACATGAAAATGTCACGCGTACATTATCCTTGCTGCCAGAAGGAACGCTGGTATCGGAAAGTTGCAGCTGCAGCAGGCGCCTGACACTGAAAGAATATTGGCATAAATTATTGGGAAGCTTTCTGAAATAACTGCCACCATATGCAAAATAGATGAACTAATGCAGCTGAAGGACACAGTTCAAAACATAGACCAATGAGTCCAACACTTGTCAGTGCAGTACGATGAAGTACTCACCGAGATGAGAAAGCAATCATCTGAAATAGCTACTCCAAAGAAAAGTGTTGAAAGGGCTGAAGCAATGAATAGCACTCTGTAAATTCAGAAACTGCAATAGCAGCTCAACTACTTAAAGCAGTATAGCCGCCGTCGAAATTTAGAAATTCACGGTCTGCCACATAGCCCAAACGAGCACCTGCTTGATAAGCTGAACAACTTGGCGAAACAGTTGAACTTTGCCGAGCTCACCCAAGCTAATATTGACGGCTTACATAGGCTTTCGCCTATGGCTTTACCTGGCGAAAGCCTATGACATAGGCTTTCGCCAGGTAAAGAACCAGGGGTGCTCATTGGCTTTGTGTCACGCGATACAAGGGACGAATGGATGGCGAAGAAAATCTATTTGAAGTCCACAAAATCAGATGTCCACTTCCTAGATAATCTGACGGCAAAAAACAAGAAGCTTTTATGACTTATGAAGAGCATGGCACAAGAAAAGCATCATCATTTTGTTTGGCACAAAGAAGGAAAGTTGTTTGTGCGTAAGACACATGACGAGTGGGCCATCCGCATTGAACGAGAAGCAGATATAGATAAGATACAGTGAACTCTTGTTTGGGTTATAAATCAGTTTTTTTTTATAATGACAGAATCACAGAGCATGACTTAATGTAACAGCCGTATCTTCAATTCTGCTTTGCGGTGTTGTTTTGTAAAATCTAATGATTATTTGTCTATTTTTCATGTTAGTAGCAGGAGCTTAATTCCTAAGGGCATAGAATTAGAAACTGTTTTGAATGCCTTAGATCATAAATTTGTTATACTCGCATTTACAGAGATGTGGTTTTCTTCGGTTTTTGATGTCAATTTCTTCAACGGTTACATTTGTGAAAGTGTTTTCAGAAAAAATCGTCGAGGTGGTGGTTGTTCACATTATATTAAAAATATTCTGAACTACTCATTTCTAGCTGAATTTTCAGCTGTTAATGACGATTATGAATTTATTGCTTTGAAGTGTTGCAATACCGTGATTGTAGCTATTTATCACCCCATTCTTATGCTTTTTATATATTTAGTTTGTTTGTGAGCAAGGTTCTCCAATATGTTACCATGACAGGTTTCTCCGTTGTTCTGATTGGTGATTAAAATATAAAGTTATTAGTCAATTCTCAAATGGAATGTTTCATTGATCTCATAGAGTCATTTCATTGTCCTAACACTATTGATTCACCCACCAGAATTACGGCAGACACAGAAAACTTAATTGATCTGTGTATAACAAATTATGATATCGCAGATCTGTTTTCAGGATTTCTTACGTTACACATGAGTGATCATCTGCCAATCTTTGTTTTCATACCA